TAGAAAAATTGACTATTTTATACGCAATGTTTAACTTTATTGGATTTCTTTTCTCACTTTTAAAAGGAATCTACAACACATGTGCTATACACACACAAGTCAATCGACAAGCAAGTGTAGCACGCATACTCTTTGCAGGATTTTTTGGAATCTTTTCTACATCTATAAACAAAATTCTTTTAGACGCACAAATAAAAGAATATAACACAAAAATAACAACACGACAAAATACATACGACGAAGAACATAACAATGTAGACATTACGCCAACGGCACCACAATTACCACCCCTACCAAATAACCATCCACTATCCCTAGTCCCACGAAATTTTCGAAATTTAGCCATCACACATAATCCAAATTTTCGACTCACCACATCACAAAGTCCCATCCAACATATAATAACACACCAGTCACAAGATGATAATACTTATGAACAAATTATTGAACAACCCCATACCACCGCTTTTCAGTCTCAAAATAATCATTTTTTTAGCCCACGATGAGCCGCCAACTTGGATCACTACACCGATCAAATTCCCACCCAACCAATCTTACCTCTCCAATCCCAATAATACCACTTTTTGCTTTTCCGCCACCCGATTTTCCATCTAGTAATGTAACATCAGGTATGAATTCCGATACTAATTCACACATCTCAGTTTTATATTCCATCTCACAACTCAATAACCCGAATATTGAAACCCCCGATGAATTTGCCGACTCCGAACCATCCCCATCCAATAATTTTCATAACTCTTCTAATTTTTCTCAACCCCCTTTTCAACCCATATTATCCAATAACCCTGACCCAATCACTCCCACACCCTCTTATGCTTCCCAAGTTACCCCAACCTACTCCTCATACCATTCTGACCAATCATCTCATTCTCCAGACACCCCCCGAATCTCCCCAGAGCTAGATAATTTTATTACCCTACAACAACAACCCTACCACCTTAATACCCCAACCATAAACCAAATCTCCTCCACTATAAATTCATCCAATCCCCCTACCCCTACACCCTCTTCAAATTATACTGAATCATTAGCACCATCATCCACATCAACTGAATCTTCACACAACACTAATAGAGCTTACCGCACTTTTAAAAGAAAGTTCCCCAACCATCCTTTCCCAGCAAAACCAGGAACAGCCCGTGAATACATCAACCACCCCAAGCATACTAACACAAAAGAATTTTTAGCCATCACCTTACCCTCATTCCCACAATACACCTTAAACACCCCCCACGACACTAACGAAACACGCAACTTTGTAGATGAATACGTTTTAATGCCCACTCTCTCTTGGACCTCATATTATCATTTTACTAACCCTCTTTGCTTACCTTTATCTAACACTCACATCGATATAGAGCGAAATACGGACATGCTATATCGACTCACTACACCACTAACCGCTAGACAATTTACTTACATTGGATATAAAAAATCACTAAAAACACACACTGCACCTAGAGCTAACGAATATACACTCGAATACTATGATCACAACATCATCAGAGCTAACCAAGATCAATTCTTAGACGACGATCGCTTCGCTAATCCACAAATTACCGAGAAATTTTTCATCAAGACACCATATATATTCACACTAAACATCATCGACCGAAAGTTTGATCACATTATTTCAGAAGCACTAACAGACACACAAGCATACGAAAGTTTCAAAGAACGCTTCCAAATATTTTCACTAACCTTTCATTTCCTTGCACCACACGAAAGAGATTTACACTGCTCACACGATATTATGTTGCGCACTAAACAAACCCACACATATAGTTATTATCGCTTCATCCAAAATCACTTTGATCTACACACACCCTCTAGACAACCACACCATCGTTTTCAATTCATTAATTCCAAATACACTTCACCATTTTTCCTAAATTTCACATATTGTATTAAAGACACTAACCTCCATGGTATTCTTCGTAATTATGACCCCATAACCCAAATGTACATCTTCTGTCCCATCACCAAGACCTTCAACGCCGAAGAATCCCGACCCTTCCTTATCCCGCACGAGTTTGTACAACCTATAGAAATCCCAATTTTAGAATTCATCCACAACACTAAATTCAATCACAAATTATATAATCTAATCCAAAACACACCTTATGAGTTTGCAGTTGGCACTGAAGAACTAACCACTATTAAGGCACTTCAATTGCTTTGGCCACTGCTTCAGACTAAAAATATCATCCGCATCTTAGCTAAACTACTAACAACTTCAGAACTAATTCACGACATCTTCCCCCACGGTTTTTTCCCCGACGACTAACAGGTAAGTATGAATTAAATGAATATTACTAACTAATTAAAATATTAAAAAACTCACCATACTTTATTCATGTTTTCTTTAGATTTTTAGCCTTCATCCGACGATCACCTACAAAAACCACAAAAGACAAATAAAAATCGCAAATTTCATCAAACAGATTTCAAAAATTCTATTAATCTCTTACACTTATAGATTTATAAATTTAATACCAATGCAATAAATTCATTTCTAAAATTTTCCCCACAAGCAGCAAATTTAATTATGATGAAAATTTGTAACTTAAAATTCCCCCATAACTAGCAGTAAATTTCCAAATTCTATGCAGTAAATTAATAAAATGCAATTGCAGTACTAACCTTTTGATATTTTCTTTCATTCGCACAGAAATTCTATCCACACTCGCACAGCTCGCCCACGAAGAATTGTTTAAAATAATGAATTTCAGTTTCAAGTTTTCACACTCAACAACTCTAACATATAATAACATGTTTCAAACTTTCCTTTAACCCGGTTGGAAAGGAATCATATACTAAACAAAACTAACCAACGCAGCTTACTAAAAACCACAAATCATAGAATAACAGCATGACTAAGAAAAGGAAACCAACGGTACCCAAACCGGATTAACCCAGTTTAAAACTGGATAATTTATTCTTTTGAAGACTATTATAAAGTCTAAGAAAGAAATAATAAAACACAAAAAAGTCGAAAGACAAACCCATACCACGAACAATTTGATTTTTGGAAAAAGGACATAACCAACAAGACATAAGAAAAACCACAACAAACCCAACATAAAACGTTGTCACATAATAGGACCCCTCATAAAAACCGCATGAAATCATACTCCCACTCCTGGCCTAACCCACCAGGAAGGACGTCCTGAGCATGCTCTATAGCCGGCCTAACCCACCGCGCTACATCCACGCTTTGTGACCACACCACTATTTTTAATAAGAGCTACTCAAGTGTGAGTAACTCTTCAAAATAACCGAACTAAAACAAAAAGCTTTTGTGAAAACAACTAACTAAAATCATAATTAAAAAATATTAAACTAATAAATGTTTTATAAAATGTAAATTACATTATGCAATACATAGATCAGAATACAACACCAAGGACGAACATCTAAAGACAAAACGACCCCACTACACTCGAGAGAGAATGACCAACCACAATCGATATGCCACTCACAATCACAACTCAAAGGATTTAGAGTACGACTTGACTTCGCAGAAAAGGACTTCATTGAACTAGACCAATGACCACCTCGATGTTCAAGTATACGTACAGATCCGAGTAACCAGGCATCCCCTCCACGCACAATCTCCACGCCATTCCCAAACTAGACCAGACACAAAAGAAGTTCTCCACGCAGAACAGAAAAACCTGACATAGCCAACCATTCTGAAATCAGGATTGAGTTTGTTGCGAAGACTTAGTCGTTGTCACTAGAAGACACAACGTCTTATGTCTCTAACTCCAGCTTCCTGGAACTTCTTTAACAAAAAGGAAACAGAAGAAATAAGATGTTCGCCAAACACCAACTTCCATCATCCATCCTTCGAATTGCAGAAGAACTATTCTAAAAAACTCTGTAAAACCCGGATGGGTGGAACCTGATCTAAACTACATTTTATGATTGGATAATTTAGATATTTTACCAATGTAAAGTATTTAATATTAACCAATCATGATCCATCTAACTAACAACCCACTTATTTGTAAGTGCTGAAGTTACTTGTAACTTCAGCACCAGAGAGATTTGAATTTAACTTAGAAATTAGTTGGACTCTCCCGAGCACTTCAGCAGCCGCAATAAACCAGTATACCCTAGATCTATTGAGCCTAGCAGAGACTAGTTAAACAACCTGAGACTAGATAGTATAAGAGTAAGATTAGGATCGGTATTAGACTAAGAAGTTGCACGAATCTATCCGGCCGAAAATAAGATAGCGTGACGAGCAGACGGTGTACCCTATCCGAAATTACTCTATGAGTTAGCCAACTCGGTCCTAACTCAGCTGATATGGGTCTTTAACAATGGTCAAGTTAAGATAATTGAAAAGCGGTGCGCTCGGTTTTTTTTCAATCATGAGTTGCTGAATAAAAATCAATCATAAGAAGTTGAATTGAGGCAGTGTAAATTGTAAAAGAGCAATTCGGCTTCATCCTAAAACGACTTGTATATTTTACTTTCCTAAAATTTAGAGTGAAGGAATGTGTTCTAAGAGTCAGTGGTGGATTTAGGGGGCTGGAGGCAGAGTGGGGAAGGGGTACTTTTCTCGAGAGCTCGACCCCATTACCACTCAGGGTCCCCCGTTGGTACTACTTACGATATCCATTTTCTGCCGACGAACCCTTGAGTTTTTTCAAGGGCACTTTTGGCGCAAAAACTAATAGTGAAGGCGAAGGGGGAACTCACGCCAAAACAAGCTATTTTTTATCTCAAAATTTTCTAGGGCGCAGACAGCGTTGGCAAATTAGTGTCTCTCTAATGTGTTGGGAGACCTCGGAAAGCCATTTTGATCGGCCTAAAAATTCCATTTTTTTAATAACTTTTCCCATTTTTTTTATTCGTTCAAGGAGCATCGGAAAATGGTTAACTAACTTGGATTGTAGCTAACTAACTTGGATTGTAGCTAACTAACTTGGATTGTAGCTAACTAACTTGGATTGTAGCTAACTAACTTGGATTGTACTCGAAACCTTGCTGGTCACTTGACTGAGAGCCTCCTGCTCCACAGGTGGACGCCAACATTCGGGACTGGAACGTCAAATCATACGTTGCTCCATCAGTAAGTCCAGTCACCTATAAAATATTTCAAGGCTGTGTCTCAAAATTAAAAAAACCCGAATTGAGAAAAGTGTAAAACGACATCGAATGAAAGATAATGTGGTAACCTGCAACGGTAGCATGAGGGGAGTGAAAGTGACGGAGCAGGAGGGGAAGAAGGTGACCGTGGCACTTTGGAAGTAGCCACTCTCCACGCCAGTATCAATCTCTATGGAAGTTTCGCTCAACTTCCTCACCGCAAAGTTAGCTCTTGGTTCTGAGGAAAACCAAAAGATCAAATTAAAAGTGACGTGTTATGGAAATTATATTTTTTTTAGAAAATACGATTTCAAAAGAATTAATAGGCATATTTAATTGAATGATCTCGTTTTTTTTTCTCTCAAAAGAGGGTGTAAATTGTTAAAAAATGTCAATGAATGCTCAGGTCGACCAAACTTTTTTCAGTGATCTCTAAACAATTTAAAGAGTTCAATTTGCTAGTTTTTTTTTGCCCAACCTGAGAGTTATATTATGCGAAGCGTCTTTTATGGTGGAGGGGTCAAGCTTCTGATGATGCATTTTATCAGCACACCTTTATGTTTGAAAACTCACGCGTGCAAAAGCGAACAGTTGCGTCCAAAGAAGTGTCCGCGTTCCCTCCATGAGTTGCACTCACAATTGTGATGTCATAGGCAGCTCCAGACAGGAGCCCAGACGCCTCAAGGAACCCTCGAGCACTCGGAAATAAGTTGTCTCTGAAGGTCACAGTGTCACACGCTTGGAACACATCTGAGTGGCACTCGGCCTCGATTTCATAAACAGTCGCGGATCCAGCCTCGTCGGCGATCGTCAAGTTCACGAAAGTTGTCGCGATCTCATTGATTGAGATGGCAACTCGACGATCTGGTGACTCAGTCATGATTGTGACCGGCAAAATACTTTCAGTCGAGGATTCCGGGACTGAGGCCGTAACCGTGGCAATTGAGATTTCCTCAGTAGTCGGACTTTCCGAGGAGTCATCGCATATTGATCGGGTGCTTGTATATCCAACGCAGCCGGGCATCATTTGAGCCAGAAGGAAACCGAGGAGAACAAACACAGAACTGTTCGTTGTCATAGCAAGCGCTTTCTTTTACAATTGCAAAGAAATGAACTCTTTTTCTTTTATAATTGAAACGAAAAAGATTTTGTCTGCCTTATATGGACAAGCAACCAACTTTAATTAATAATTTGATTTTTCTCTTATGTAGTTGAATTTGCACATAATATTTACAAACCTATGTGATTAAATTGAATTGCCTTTGTTCTTGTATCTAATTACAAGCCATCAATTTTTATCTGTTTTGTAAAGATAGCTGACTTGTATGACAGAAAGTTTACAAATGAGAGCATCTTTTCTACTTTTTAAACTGCCGTTGAGTTGTTAAGAATTACAGTCGTGTTACGACACTGCTCGTATCCAAGCAAAGCCCTGAATGCTCCGACTGCTTCTAAACTTGTATCATTACTGAACATTTCAAAAATATATACGATACAGTCAAATGACACAGAAGTTGCAAATTTTGCTTTCGATCTAATGCTTTGTCACGTTTTTGCCATTTTTTGTCGCCATTTTTAGTCAAGCTTTTCATGCAGTGAAAAATAATTTGTTGATTAAAGGCCCCCGGGTTGACAAAAAAATGCTTATAAGACTATTTCATATTATCAGGGGCGGATCTAGAATTTTCTCGAGGGGGGGGGGGCGGATTTTCAATTTTTTTAAAAAATTTTTGTCAACCATTTTTTTTTAGGTCGGCCGAATTGAATTTCTGAGCACTTAAAAGACCTTGTTTTGGTAAAATTTTCTGCGCCGCAGGCTAAATTTTGAAAAACAGGCCACAAAGGCATTTTTAGGCACTTTTTGGAAATTTTGGACCAAAAAAATTGACTTTTTTGGCGCGCGCTCCCCTCTAAAAGTAAGTATATATTGGCGCCAAAGGCGCCTTTAGAAAGTTTTTTAGGGTCCGTCACCAAATATGGATATCTCAAAACAGTACAAAGGGGGGTCCCTTTGGGTCGACAGGGAGTCGAATTCCTGAGGGGGGGGGGCGTCGCCACCCCCCCCCCACCCCTAAATCCGCTACAGCATATTATGAAAAAAATGCTTATCATACTATTTCATACGTCAAAAAAACAAAACTAATAAAATAGCAAGATAAGTATTTCTTTCATGCTACGAAATATTATAATAAGCATTTTTTACCATCTTCTGGAATAAATTAACAAGTGTTCCGCCATACATTTAATGATAAAATATTTATGAAAATAGCGAAAGCAATTTTTTTCTTTGAACGTTTATGATAAGCTTGTTTTCCATACTATGAAATTGTCAATAAACATTTTTCCATAAATGAAAAGACAAAAAAAATTTGTTTTGAATTATTGTGTTTCCAAGGTTTTTTGTCATAACAAATTTCAGAGTGTAACTGATTGAGTCTAACTGTATAAACTGCATTTGGTGATTACAGACATGCAATTTAATTTTAACAGTTTCACAGCATTATATACCAAAAATGTAACGTTTTGTATATTGCTAGATAAATTTTAGGTTTGTTTTTTTTGCAAATTTCTTTTTATCTTAGCAAATGAAACAAAAAATAATAATCGTGTTTACAAAAAAAAACTTTTTGTTGATTTTTGGATTTTTTGGTTGAAAAAATCATCCTGGACTAAGTTATAAAGAAAAAAATCTAATTTTGCTAGCAAATTTTTTTTGTTAAAACATGTTTTTAAGCACAAAAGTAAGTTGGCAACCAAAAAAGGGATTAGAAACTTTTTACATCAAATTTGTGTTTTTTTAATGAAAAAATGAATATCATACAATTTTCATTTATATACAATTTTCAAGCATGTTTTCCACAGACGCCATACATGAAATTGTATGATAAAGCCTTTATTTGCTAACTGGTTTTTTGCATTAAAGCTTGACAAAATGGTGAAATATGACGTGACACATGTCTGACCAAAACTGTCGATTGAAAAGCAATATATGTAACGTGATGACCAAAATTTTTGATCGAAAAGCAAAACTTGCAACTTTCAGGGCTTTGCTTGGAAACGAGCAGTGTCGCAGTTCAAAATTATATACGATTTTTTCACGTGACAAAAAAGCAGCAAATTTTGCTTTTCGACCGAATGTTTTGTCAAGTTTTTGCATTTGTCTCTGTAATTACTCAAGAATGAGAGCTCAAACTTTGCCATTTGGTAGATAATAGTATTTAAAGGGATTTAACCGAGCCATAAATAGTAAAATGTTTAAAAACGTTGTCTGACCAGTCAAACGAAGGTCAACGGAGAGCTGTTTGTTTCGTGTGCCGTATAATCCCTGCAAACAGCACAAGAGATTTGAGTTTTTAGAAAAGCTTCTAAGCATCTTAGCTACGCCCTCACATAAGCTTCTGTTTACATGTCGGAAGAAAAAATTACCCATCTCATAGCATATATCTAAGCTTTTACTTTCTTAGATAGCTATGATGAAAATGAAACCACCATCAAAAAGAAAGAGAAAAGCATTTAAAAATATACGACTTCTCGGCACCGAAAAATTTTATATCGGAAAAGAAACCTCGAATACAGGTTAAACAAGTTATGATTTAAATTTTAAAGACCATAAGAAGCCCTTTAAAAAAAATTTTTAAACAATTTCTTTTCCTTGTATACCATTTCCAATTGGCATAAAAATCTGCCGTTTTTTTTCGCGTGTTGAAAACGTTGGCATGCCCGGGTTGAGATGTTCGAGTACAAACTCGACAAGAAAAGTTTCGACCGATCGAAGAAAAAATGTGTTCGACTTCCTTTTACCCAAATTTGCTAAGTTTAGGCTGGATTGACCAAATCTGGCTATGTTTCGACCGACTTGCCCAGAGGAAGATGTGTTCGAATATGTTTTGATCATGTGTGTGACTTTGTTATGACCCGGGTTGACGTCCATAGAAGAAAAATGCTTACCATACAGTTTCATATTTGAAGTATATGGAAAAAATGCTTATCATACAAAATTCATTAAAAAAAAATTAAAAAGTGTTTAAGAAGTTTTTAATGAACAGTTTTTGGTCTATTTGCCTTTTTTGAAGTTTTCTGGTCATTAAAAAATGATTAAAATTTTTTTCGATAAAAAATCTTGTCATACAGTTTTCATGTATAAAAATTATAAGATACTCATTTTGTCAAAGAAAAAATAAAATACTCAAAAATCACCAAAAAAACGTGTTTTTTTTGTAAACACGATTATTATTTTTTGTTTCATTTGCTAAGATAAAAAGAAATTTGCAAAAAAACAAACCTTAAATTTATCTAGCAATATACAAAACGTTACATTTTTGGTATATAATTCCACGTGAAAATGTTAAAGTTAACTTTCATGGCTAATATACCCAAAAGCAGATTATCTGCGTGGTAACTGTCAGTTACACTCTGGGTTTTCTTATGACAAAAAATCCTTGGTTAGTGTTTTGGATGAAACCCAAAATTTCAAAACAAACATTTTTTCGTATTTATGTTTATGGAAAAAACGTTTATCATACAGTTTCATAGAATGGAAGAATACTTATCATGCTATTTTAATATCATTTTGGGGATAAAAAGACTGATGAAAAAGCTCAAATTTTAATTCCAGAGTATGTTATAAAGTTTCATATAATGGAAAAAATGCTTATTTTGCTATTTTCATACACTTACTTTTATTCTATGAAATTGTATGATAGAGTATGATAACCATTTTTTTTATATATGAAAATTGTTCGATAAGCAAGCGATTTTTTCTTAACCCGGTGAAGTGGTTTTTGACCAAAATGGATGTTTTTAACCACAGATTTTGTGTCGAACCACATCTTTGTGCTGAACTGATATCTGTAGAAACAAAATCTTACACCTCGACCTGGATATAAATGGTGGACAAAAAAGTGTTTTTACATGATGAAAATTTTTTGAAGCAAAACAATTTTTTCATGATTTATGATAGAAGTTTCAAATATATCGAAACTAAGGCCACACGTCGTTATATTTCGTATAAAGCTGACTTAAGCTCTCTCCTCTCGTTTTTTAAATAAAAAAAAGTTATTTGAGAATAAATGCACGACTGAAAAAAAAATTTATGTATGTTTTGTTCTTCATTGTTTTCTGAAAAGGTGCACCCATTTTGAGCCACAATTCACATGAATTTTTTTTTGATTTAAAATAATTTTTGTAAATTAATTCTCGTGCTCAACTTGTTCTCTACCTCCTTCGGTGCCAAAAATTGAGTCTTTATAGGTTTAAAAAAACTTTAAAAAACAAAGAGTCAAAATTGTTGCCTTGATTAGTGTAGTTGAAATGGATGTGGAAAATGAGTTATGTTACGATCGTCTATCGTGCTTGTCGTATAATTTCTTATCCGCACTAGAATCCTGAGTTTCATTGATAATGGATGATACTGATCATATTAATATTAACCCATATAATCAATTTCCATGTCAATCTAACCATAGAATGATTGCTTAGGGGACTACAATCGGTTATCCACAACATTCAAACTTCATTTTCGTTCCAATTTTTGAAACAAAAGTAACGGAATATTTGTGCTCGGGGTTGTTTTTTTTTTTCTTCAGATAAATTTCGAATTTTTAACTAGCCAGATTTGACTTTTTTATACACATCATTCAAAAGGCAATGTTGTCCTGAGCTTAAATTTGAAAATATAATCTACCTGTGATCATTTTTCAAAAAATTATGGGGGTTTAAAAAGTGCCGTTTTGGCCAATTTCGGACAATTCACTCGCGATATATTTCGCGCTATTAACGCGTAAGCGGAGATTTAATCCTTTTTAGAAATCGTTCCAAATTGGTTCAGGGAAGCTATGTCATAATTGATTTGTTAATAGGAGCGCAGAATTATGCAGCAAGTGGGTTGAGTTTCCTTTTGAGAAAATTTTTTTTTCATTGTAAATATTCACCGTATATGGGCAGCAGACACTTGGTGGATGTGATGGTCTCGTTGTCTGTCCTCTTCAAATCTCAGAGGCTTTCATTATGATTGAAAAAATCAGTTCTTTCTTTCTTTCTCTCTTTCTTTCTTTCAAAATAGTCAATTTTTTTGTTCATAAAAACCATGAGAATTGATTATATTTTGAAATTTTGAAAATTTAATCTGTTTTTAGCAGCGTTCAACAAAATTAGAACCCGAACGAACATGTTCATCACTTCGTACAATCATACATTTCCTCATCACCCCTAATTTCAAGCCCCCTACTTTTCCAAACATCCAAACACCCCCCCCCCCCTCCAGCCACACACGCGCACATACACAAAA